TGCATTACCACACCAGATTAATCGTGCTCTAAAGTACACACACACATGGGGCTAGCGAGGTGACTCAGAGCACATTTGTGCCTTCAGTCAAGGCTGCAGACCTAAGTTCAACTTCCAGAACCCACATGGCAGAAAGAGACAACCAACTCTGGAAAGTTGTCTTCTGCCTCTCTATGCATGCCATGGTATGCATGTGTAAGCACATGTATGCATGCACATACACACACACAATAAAGAAATGAGATTAAAAATATTTTAAAAGAAGAGATACAGATGGCCAAGACCTATAAAAAAAACTTTTCAATATTAGAAATCAAAACTACAAGAAGCTACTCTTCATACCACTCGTGGAGTCTACCTTCAAACTCGGAGAGACAGCAAACCTTAAGAAGGATGTATAAAGAAAAGGAGCCTCAGCTGGGAGGAGAAGGTGGTATAGCTTTTATAGAAGAGTACGGAGGTGCTTCAAAAAACTCAGGAGACCAACTGCTTCATCCTCCTCCCCACCTCTCAAAAGACCTGTAAAGAGATGCTCTTTAAAGAGATGTATATCTTCATCCTCATACTCAAGGCTTACTCAAAACAGCCAAGATATGGGACCAACCAAAGAGCTAAAGGGTGGAGAAGGAGAAGTGTGGGACCAACCAAAGTGCCTACGGGTCGGGGACTGTGAGCCCAAGCAAAGTGCTAATTGTGGAGGAATCTGAGACCAACTGAAGTGTCTATGGGCCAGGGGACATGAATGGAGCTGTGTCAGAGAGAAAGACAAGTTCTACAAGACCTCACTCACATGTGCAACTCAAAGTAGAATGGTGAATGCCAGGGGCTGGAAGTTTGCAGGAAGTGGGGAGGCCTTGCTCATACTCAACAAGCTCTCTATCAGCACGCTCTCCTGCTCTCAGGAGATTTGCTCACTGTTAATCAGTAAAGCTCGGGAAAACACATACCTCCATTCTAGGTAGGTACTTAGGTAAGTGGGTGGGTGGACAGATAGATGGGTAGGCGGATGGGCAGGCATTGTTTTTTACAACTTGCAAGGAGAATGCTCAGGGGATAGCCACAGATACGTCCTGGGCCTGACACTGATCAGCTATCTAAACATGAGACAACGATCCCCAAGTTGCTCTGTCATTTGGACAGCAACCAGCACCGGAAGGAGCAGACTGGTGCTGTGGCCCTAGGACCACCTCTGAAGGGACACAGAGAAAGGCAGCCTGAAGCAGGGAGCCCAGCATGAACCAACATGCAGGGACCCATGGGTGAGAGGAGCCCCCAGGCTATGGTGTTGGCGCTGTTACCAGCTGCTAGACTGCACGGTTTTGCTTTATCAAGTTACCCTAGGCTGTGACTGCTGCTCCAACTCCTAACCTCCACGCCTGAAGCGTGTGGCCATCAAAACACACTCACCTTTTAGTAAAGAGAAAGTGAAGCTAAAATCCTATACTTCTGGTCATCTGAGATGACTAAAAGCCTAAAGGACACTTCAGAGAGCAAGAGGATGGCCGTTTTCAACATCCTGGGTATTATTGTGGTCATCAAACTGATTCCTCAAACAACACTGGCCACTAAGCACTGATGGAGGAGGGTCATCTTTCTATCTGTTGTTTCATTGGTTAAGTAATAAAGAAACTGCCTAGGCCCATTTGATAGGCCAACCCTTAGGTGGATGGAGTAACCAGAACAGATGCTGGGAGAAAGAAGCTGAGTCAGTGAGTCACCATGATTCTCCCACTCCAGACAGACGCAGGTTAAGATCTTTCCTGGTAAGCCAGCTCGTGGAGCTACACAGATTATTAGAAGTGGGTTAGATCAATATGTAAGAGCTAGCCAATAAGAGGCTGGAACTAATGGGCCAGGCAGTGTTCAAAAGAATACAGTTTCCGTGTAATTATTTCAGGTATAAAGCTAGCCGTGCAGGCGGCCGGGTGCCAGGAACGTAGCCCCGCCGCTCTTATTACAACAAAGCACAATGGTCCCCACTGCTGTATTGGTGCCAAAGGCCCTAAAAGTCACAACTCACATTCTCTCTAGAAGATAACCTTGTCGAGAAGGCAACAAAAATGCTGGACATGGTTCACACTAGTGATCCCAGCACTCACGTGGCAGAAAGATAGGCATCACGGGATAGAGGCCAATCTGGGTGATGGAGTAAGACCATCTCAAAAAAAAAAAAAAAAACCAAAAAAGGCAATGAAAATATAGTTCGTGATCTTACTTCCAGGACCTCTGTGCTTAGGTGAAAGTATTTCAACAAACTTTAGGTTCCAAAAGAAAACTACAATTCTCCAGTCTTCAGTGACAGGGCCTCTTCAAATGGAGTGGCTTCAAAGGGAAATGCACAATAATTTCTGAACAAATTTGTTCTTAATTTTCCTTTCTCTCTACACTTAGAAATGCCCATTTCCAGACAGTTGGTTAAAGCTATACAGGCAGTGGGACCATCAGTATTTCTTTTGACCAACGGCCTATGTCAAGATTCACTGAGACACCAGGTTGCCAAGAAGAAGAAAGTCAGGCTAAACCTACGGGCCATTGAAGCTTAATGTGGGAAGCCCCAATACTGCTTACTACTGCTGTCTCCCAATGCATAACTTATTAGCTAGCATAAGCCACCATCCACAGGAAGGGAAGGTAGCTCTCTGAGACCCTGGTTCTGTTTGTTTTGACTCACTGGCTTCTTAGCAGTACGAGAGGTGACGAAATTAACTCCAACCTCGATTCTACAGTCATTCCAGCCACTATGGGAAACACAGTGCATAACCAAGAGGAACCTGGAGGGTCCACCCGCTTGCTTCAGGATGGATGCTTTCCTGGGATCCAGTTGCCTTGCCCCAAGATGCCCACTATTTGCAGAGGGACAGCATCAGGTCTTTGATTCTGAAAACACTCAGTGACTTTGAGCTTCACAGGACAACAGCACCTTCCTCCAGGCTGAGGACAAAGATTTCAGACTCAAACATTTGTGGCAGCTTTGACAGAGAAAAGGCTGCCACTTCCTCACTGACTGCCCATCTACAGCATCCCTCTCTGCAAAGCCAATAAGCCCCCTCCTTTTATAAGACTACCAGGAAAAACAGACTTTGCAATAATAGACAGATGGATTATCAGAGAAAGGGGTGAGGGAGGGACAGACGGACAGATGGATGGGTAGAAAGAGAGAGACAACTGCAGTGGCCCCTTCTTAGCCTGACATTTAATTTTGCAGTTTCAGCTGTATGCAATCATGATGAAGTCTCTCCCTCTTAGTAACTTCATGTGTAGAAAATGGAGGATCAGTTCTTACCGCAGGGCTTGACAACCCTGATGTTTGCTGTCTTTCTTTCTAAGCCTTAAGTTAAAGAAAACATTTTACAGCTTTCTTTGTCATATGCAATACCAGCACCCCAATACTGAGATACAGTGATGTTCACCAGATACACCATAACATGATTACTACAAGACTGTAAGAGAGAATATGCTGACGGTAATTGCTGTAATTGTTATGTTTGTTACTGTTAATAACTGTGCCTAGTTACAAATTAAACTTTACCATAGGGATATGTAGCACAGATATGGAAAATACACACACACACACACACACACACACACACACCCCACACATCAGGTTGGTGCTATGCAGTTGCGAGCATGCACTAGATTTGGCACTTGTCGCACAGAAAAGCAAGGCTACCACATCCTGTATTATCACTTTCATTTTACAAAGGTAAAAATCTAAGTTCCGAAATCACATCCTAAGCAATGATTAGAGCTGCCATTTGCACCAGGGAGTCTAACTAGTGTATTCTCTTAATCCACTGAAACTGCCTTGGGCTATGAGGAGAAAATCCCTTTAAAGCACCAGAGATTCACCTTTAAAGTAACATAAATGTATTCTTTTCATATGACTTGCATGTATGTATTATGTATGTATGTATGTATGTACGTATATACACACACCACCAATGCCTTCAACCTCACATCATTAACGATGACTACTATTTTTTTTAAGTGTTGAAGACATGGAAATGCTGGAATTCTTGTGCACCACTGATGAGAATGTAAAATGTTATAGCCACTATGAAGACCACTTTGAAGGGTCTTCAAAACAAAACAAAAACAAAAACCAATCAAACACAATTCTTATTTGTTCTAGCAATCCTCCTGCAGCTAAACTCCCAAATGAACTGAGGACAGGAGATAAAACAGGCATCTGTAGACATGAGTTTACAGTGGCATAATTTGTAATAACCAAAAAAAAAGACTTGACCCAAGTGTGTGTGCATGGATGGATGGATGGGTGGATGGATGGATGGGTGGATGGATGGATGGATGGATGGGCGGGCAGACAAACGGATGGACAGACAAAACTGTGGCATATAAACAAAATAAAATACCGTTCATCCCAAGAAAGCAAGGGCACTTTGACGCATGGATAAACGCGTGGCTTGGAGAGATAAGACAGTCACACAGGCAAACATTGTACACTTATGTGAGGTACCCAGTGAACCGAATGTGTAGAGACCCAAATTGAATGGTACTATCGGAACATGGAAGGGCGGGGATGATGGGAATGCAGTTTCCCAGATTCAGAGACTCAGTTTGGGAAAACGAGGAAGTTCCGGATGGGAATGGGGAATGTTGTGAGCAGAACGACCAAGGCTCGCTCACCCCAGAATGCTCAGTATCTTACATTAAACAGACCTTACTACAGGGTCTGCCTAAAACAAAACTCACAAAGCAATGGTTTTAATAACTTACCAGTTAAATTATTAAAAATTTCCAAACTATATTGGATTCATGGGAATTCATAATTCATTTTGGATGTTCCTGAAGGCTGTTTTTTTAACTTTTCCATCAGCTAAACAAGGTTAGCAAGAGACCCCAGAGGCCCACTGTGAGGATTAAACAGTATTACTTACTGATAAGGTCTAATATTAACTGCTGCTGGCTGTTATCACAGACAAGGCCTGTGGTCTGCCTCACCTTGAGCCTTCTGGCATCCCTGGGTAATCCTAACTTACCTATGAGCTTCTGTTTTGGGAGATGCAGTTCTCTCGCCGCCACCCTGGTACTGAGAACCCCACGTTCAACCATGACCTGTGCCAGGATTCCCGGGACACATTCCCCACGACAGAAGGCTAGCCGCGGTATGACTGCAAACTGCTCAGGACAGGCTCTTAGTCAGCCCCAGTCACAGCGTACGTACACTGCAGAGTCTGACCAAAGAGAAGAAGCTCAGTAAATACTGTACAGAACTTGGATGAGGACAGAAAGTCTCAGGCTGTGGTACAGCTCAAGGAGAGCGTGCAAGGCCCGTGGCTCCACCCCCAGCACCCCCAGCACCGAAAACACAAACTTCTGAATCATCTGAACTTTCTAATATAAAGAACTGCTTTCCGGTTTCTTCTCCCACATAACATCTAAGAGAAAAAGTCCAGCCCCAGAGCCAGTACAGACAGTGAACTTGAAGCCAGAAATGACCCTTACACCAAGTGGGTTCCCAGGACTGAACCCTGGTCATCAGACTTGGCAGCATGCACCTTTGCTTGCTGAGCGATCCCACCATCTCCCTACCCCACTTCCTGTTTTCCAGAACTGGTCATGAGGTAAGAATGTGGCCTGTGTCACTGAAGTCTTCATCCTTCATCCACACGCAATGCTCCTCAGACCCCGCACAGCAATCTGCACACAGAGTCAGGTCCTCAGCAGCAGGTTCAGGGAAAGCAACGCAGGAGCCAGAGAACCTTGACCGATGAGTCAGCCATGACACACACAGACTTGACGAAGCTCAGCCCGAGCATGTGAGACTGTGCATAAAATCCTGAGAAGAGGTATGGAAAAAGCTAGGACATCAGCTTGACTAATGGTCCTGGCACTGATTTACGCCACATCCTCTTTAAAGTGGTCCTGGCGATTCTGGGCTCAGGATACACTGAAGACACTTGGCCACTCCAAGTTCCACTCTGGAATCTTGATGGTAAAGTCCCCTTCACAAATCTGTATCTCCCTTGTGTTGCATCCTCCTCCTCCCTTCTCCAGCCCCACCCCTAACAAGGTAAGCAGCTTTATCAGAAAGAGGGGCGCATGAAGCACTATGTACATCTCTTGGGAGAACCTCACTCCCCCGGCTGCACGGAAATTTCTTCCCTTGAATATCATGGAGTGCACGAAGAGATGAAGACCAAATGACGGTAAACGGTGACAGGTCTCTTCCTTCAGATCCTGCATCTATTATTTTCCCATCTCCTCCTACTCCCTTCAGCTGGTTTCTCTTCCTGCCCCTGACAACAGCGGAGCTACTTGCTGTCTCCATGGATAGGCACCTTCTGGATTGTACAGCACATGACTTTGTTCTTTCCTTCTTTGGCACAGTGTTTCTGAAGTTTATTCATGTTGTAACAATACATATTTTTAGAATATGTTTTAGAAGTGGCTCAACAATCTTTGACTCCTGCATCCTTTGATATCTCTACTTTTACCTTTGCCTTTAAAACAAATAACAAGCAAGAATATAATTTGTTTTATTTATTTACTGTTTCTCCCCCCCCCCAACCCCGCCGCCTTGGCCAGGTACTTACTAGGCAGCTCACCCTGGCCTTAAACTCAAAATCCTCCTGCCTCAGCCTCTGCCACTAGTGCTTAAAGGAAACAAAGGCCGACCCAACAGTGGTTTGGACAACAGTTTTGACACTCACATCCACCGTAACATCCGGCTTCAAAATACAGCCACTGGGTAGACAAAGAACAATGGTTTCCTCTGGAAGAGAGACTGAGCTCTTATTGAGATGTACACTCCGGCAACATCAATGTCAGGATAAGGCAGTTTTAGTCTGTGTCTGAAAACTAACAGTTAATGATGCTCACAAACAAACCTGCTGTCCAGCAAGGTTTGGCTTTCCACCTTAAAGCCCTCCAGTGTGGAGCCAAACAGCGGGATGGATTCTGACAAACCAACCTGTGCAGCAAACTACGGAGATCTTTTTTCTAACTGTAAGATTTTGTGATTCTAAAGATGTAAACATACTCTAACCATTAAAATGTTTTGCAAACAACATGGAGGCACTGAGTCTCTGAGGAGGAGGCTGGCACCTTAGATGCCCTCTGGCAACTACTGGAGAGCTGCTGTGACTGGCATTCCCTTAACTCTGATGGATTCCAAAACCTGCATCAGTACCTGTATCCTAATGGCAGCATGTGGGGCAGGCCCACATAGTAGTGTCCAGGTTTTTGCATGAGAAGAGAGTGTAAAACAGCCCTCACCTTCTTGCCTGACATCGGTTTAGTTTTTTATTTATTTATTTTATATACAATGTTCTTTCTGCGTGTATGCCTGCAGGCCAGAGAGGGCACCAGACCTCATTACAGATGGTTGTGAGCCACCATGTGGTTGCTGGGAATTGAACTCAGGACCTTTGGAAGAGCAGGCAATGCTCTTAACCGCTGAGCCATCTCTCCAGCCCCAATCGGTCCAGTTTTCAATTCTAACCCACATTTCCTAGGAAAGCAATAATGGACTGCCAGCAGAATAAAAACGAGGAATACCAGCAGCCCTAGAGTAGCTCCAAGGAGGCTCAACAAGACAACTGTCAAAGTCTCTTGTGGATTGTGTTGTCTGGGTCTAAACTTTGTAAATCAATCTCTCTCCCTCCCTCCTTCCCTCCCTCCCTCCCTCCCTCCCTCTCTCCCTCCCTTCCTCTCTTTCTCTCTCTCTTTCACACACACATACACACACACACACACACACACACACTTCCCACTTTGCTACAATCCAACTTTCTAAACAATGTATAAAGATGGGTACTCAGGAGGCAGAGGCTAGAGCACTTGAGTTTGAGAATAGCCTGGGCTACACAGTGGTATCCTGTCTTTAAAAGTCAAAATAAAGGACTGAAGATGTATCTAAGGGGTAGAGTCCTTGCCCATCATGTGCAAAGCCGGGTTTGATGCCCAGAACAACAAAAATCGATACTCCAAATAAATTACAACTTCCCATGGCTATGTTTCCTAGTGAGAAGTTGGCAAATGAGATGAGAGGAGAGAAGAGGAGAAGGGGACCCTGGGGGACTGGAAGAACAAAGCTGGGTTCTGTTCTGCAGGGCTCAGGACTCAACACTGGCCTTGTGCACACCAGGCAGACACTGAGCCACCTGGACATCTCGGGAGGACTGGTTCCGGACATCTCCCTCACCTGGTACTGAAGTCCAGAGATGCTAAACCCTTACTGGCAACTAGCACAGCGTTTGCATCAGCCCAGGCACGCTGTCTGTCCTGTATACTTTAAATCACTCAGAATCACCATTCTTAACTATCAGTGTCAAGTCAATGCTCATCATAGTTCTTTTTCTCAAATATTTCCAACCTGCAGCTGGCTGAATCTGAGGCTACAGAACCCAAAGGCTATGAAGGCTAACCGGTTGTGTGTGTTTTTCAGGGATGTCAGCCCAAGAGAAAACTCTGCCCTGGGAGAACTGAAGAAACAGCTGAAGTTCTGAGCTTCCTAGGAATTCTGTTGGTATCAATGGCCACTTTTTACTCCTAATGTATAATGTATTTTTTAAATTAGCCAAAACACAGGCGATAGATGGGTGGATGAATGGCCAGTCAGCTAACTTTCCAACACTAAGCCAGAGCCAGTAGAGCTGGTCTACCCAAAGCGGGTGCCATTCCCCAGGAGACCACACATTATTCTGACTTGCTAATTCACTGTGATTTAGGCAGGTTACAAGTTAATTTGTGGGTTTTCCTTTTTGTCCACTAGAGATGCCAACAGCTTCTGCCCTTCAGAAAAAATTGCCACAAGAGCTATGGTTTTATCTATAGAACATTTCCCAGTTTTGTTTCTAACTTGGCATTTTTTTCAAGTCTTTCCCAACAGAATATATAAATCTCTTTAGTGATTTGGGAGCCAACGCTAACATCCTGTGGAATCCACATTAAGGAGTTAACTTAATCTAAGTAAATCTCTGACACGTGGTCACGAAATGCTTGCAGGGATGCCATGCAGTGACATTTTGGAATCTGCACTTTGACCAGCTAAGTCCTCTTCTCAGTCACTACTGGTCAGCTCACACTTTCTGTCTTTGCAATATTTCTATTGAGACCGTTTGATGACAAAAAAGTTTATGTCACCATTATTTTTTCCTGTTCATCATACAAATGTTACAAATAGTTTTAGCAGTTAGGGATGATTTTTAAAGACTAGAAAGATAAGTCATAATTTTTTTTTCTAAAGATGAAAATATTTAAAAACCAATCCAATTTTATCAATCCTGTAGATGTTAACACCAGGAACAACCCAATCATTTTCTGTCCCACTGTGACTACAGATACCTTCCACTATAGAGGAGGTTAACCAAGTCACAGACACATACAGAGGGACCCAAGGCCGCCACACGGTAGGAAAACAAAACCTGACTTCTTCACCACACGACAGTGTCTCTCAAATCTCACCTCATTCTACAAATGTCCAGTGTGATCTTACCATGCACAATTCCTAGTGCCACTGAGACAGAGTCAGTGAGCATCTGGGCCAGCATCATACAGGAAGTGTCAGAACCGCTGCCTATAAAGCTGTCACCCCCAGTGATTTATTTGCAATTACCCTGCCTTCGGATCTCTCAAAGCATCCTTGTGTGTGTTCAGTTTCCTGGGCACGGAGTTCCTGCAGCACATCTCGGGGCTGCTTCCTTGCGCTTCGTGCACGCTCTGCAAGGGGCGGAACAACAGCTTTCTATCTGGATACGCCTAGTGCCAGGATCAACAAAGGCTTGCAAAGCATTAAGTGAGCAGATAACGTGAAAAGAACACTAGACATCTGTTCTAGACAAAGAGGAACATTTATGATGTGCTCGAGAAAGAGACAGCTATTTCTATTCGATGTTATGAAGGTTACGGTTTTAATACAAAAATAAATAGTACTTACTCTATGCACATTAAATTTAAGAGACAATATAAGTGTCAGTGTGTTCTCAAAGACTGGAGAATAGTACTTAAAAGCATTGCTTACTTATAATGGGCCACTTGATGTCAGATCTGGAGCCCTGTGGGAGAGCGCCTGCTTCTAATCGACCTCACTGGGTACTTTGTAGAAACAACACCAAGGTACCAGCTGGCAACCCCGCCCAATGTGCTGGATTTAAGAGGCTAAT